AGGCTCCGCCCTGGCCCCCAGTCTAGCAGTGCTTGCCAAAGTCGACTCCGACTGGCTCAGCCTGTGTCCATTCCTGCAGGCAGAGAAATGTGCCGCTGTGCTGAGCCAGGCCTGGGCCCGTGGAAGCACATGAACAGACGGGGAAGAGCTGCTGCCCCAAAGGAAAAGCCTTGTGCTGCCCTCACAAGAAGGAGATGCTGGGCAGGAAGAACATTATCACATCTGCTTCGACCAATGGGGTTATCGGTTCTTTTGAGCTCACCCTGAGGTCTGTCCTGGGCAGTTTTCAGACTTGTGCAGAGGGTTTGGATAAGGCCTCGAGTGGCTGCAGGCTTCCACAGAGAAGAGCTGCCTTTGGGGTGGTGGGGGACAGGGAGATTCTTACTCACCAAGGTTAACACTGCGCATACTGTTATCCGGAGGAAGCGGGAATTTCCACACGGTAAGTTCCCTTCCTTGTACAATGAATTACTATCTTGATGAGAAACCCGTGGGCAGCTGGTTGAGAAGACAGCGGTATTCTCTGAATGAGAGGGAATTTACCACCTTCTTTTATGGTGGCCGTTCTTCTGGTGTCACAGCAGGGTATGGATTGATTCATCTACAAATATATACATCTATATAGACACCATACTGCTAGCCTCTGCAAAATACATGCCTGGAGATCATTTCTGCCGCCCAGAATAGGTCACCTCTGTCACCACTCCTCTGTCCACCACCCCCACACCCTGCGGGCCCAGGCATGTGGGCCTGGGGTTCCCCAGTTGGAGGCCAGATGAGAGTCTCCCTGTGTAGGGATTGGGGTGGGGGTGGGGAAGTGGGGCTGATAAGCTGGCTGGCAGTGGCCCAAGTCCCTTCCAGGGCCTGTCGCGGGCCTCTCTGTCCTGGGCTGTCTCTTCCACCACTGAGTTTCTGACCTGAACCTCCAAAGTCCTTCATATCTCATCCCCGCTGCCCTGGGGTGCTCAGACTTGGCTCTCCATGGAGCTCCTTGCCAGGGCTCAGAGCCTTGGTTGTTGTCCTCAGAGCTCTGTCCTCCCAAGGAGGGGACAGAAGAAACAGAGCCCACTGTTCTGGATTCTGAGTTGAAGCCAAGCAGCTCCATCTGCTTCTTCCTTCCCCTAGAACCCTCCCCTCAGCCACTGTCAGCTCCCACAGTCCCTGCCAGACGGCCCCGGCTACACAGTTCCTCATGACAGATGTCTGGCTCCTTCCTACCCAAGGAAAACACGGGCTCTTCCCCAGCTCTGGAATCCCCATCCTGTCTGGGATCCTGTGGGCTGAGGAAGGAGAAGGCGGGAAGGTGAGGGCTGGGGAGAGGGGCCATCCTTCCGTAAGCACTGAGGGGTTTGCTGGATGACCGGATCTAATGCCGGGCCATCTATGAAAACTCTGCCCGGACCTCTACAGGTCCTCTGACTTCCAATGGGGCCTAAAGAAACTGAATAATGGGTAAAAGTGACGTTTAAAATGACACGAGAAAAGGCCTGGTGGGGACTCTAATAATGAAAAATTTGTTAACACTTGCTGAAAAAAATGAAAGAAACTCTCACAATATTTGGCTCCACCAACATACAAATGTGCTGTTATTTCCCCATCGTTTAAAAAGAAGGTTTTTGGAGCGCCTGGGTGGCTCAGTTGGTTGAGCGTCTGACTCATGATTTCAGCTCAGGTCATGATCCCAGGACCGTGGGATCAAGCCCCGCGTTGGGCTCTGGGCTGAACATGGAGCCTGATTGAGATTCTCTCCTCCCTCTGCCTTTCTCCCCCTCTTGTGCTCTCTCTCTCTCTTTCTAAAATAAACAAAAAATTAAAATATAAAGAAAGCTTTCTCTGTAAAAATGATTCAACCAAGTAAATAAAGAAGGGGAAATCTGCCCTAGAGAAGACTTCCAAGTAATACATGTGATGCCACCCCCTCCAGGAGCTGGAACTTAAATCCCCTTTCCCTGAGGGTGGGCTGGACTCAGTGACTGGCTTCCAGAAAGTAGAGCATGGAAAGGGAAAAAGAGTAACTTTATAGGGAAGACACCTGACAGACACCATGTTAACCAAGTGATGAGGGTAACATTACCAGTGATAAGCCATGTTGCTGTCATGCGCCCCTGATGTGATCTAATGTGAAGGGCACTTCACCTCTGGGGTGTTCTTCCTCCAAATCCTATCACCCCAGCTGAATCATAACAAAAGCTCAGATAAACTCATATTGATGGACATTCCATGAAATATCTGACCAGTACTCTTCAAAACTGAAAAGGCATTAAAAACAAGGAAAGATGGAGAGAGGGCCACAGACTGGAGAGACTGAGGCCTGACCCAACGTGGCCTCCTGGGCCAGAGAAAGGCCATGAGTGAGAAAACTGGTAAAATACGGTTAGAGACTGTAGAGGGGCTACTTGTATAATGTCAACGTCAGTCTCTTCGTTGTGACAAATATACTATGGTGCCATAAGAAGGTAACATTGGGTAAAGCTGGGCAAAGGATGCACCAGAGTTCTCTGTTCTGTCTTTGAGACTTGTCTGGGAATCTAAAGCTATTCTGAAATCAAGTCTATCCACTCAACCCCCCTAAAAAAAAAAAAAAAAAAAAAAAAAAAAATCTTCATCTACAATTTAAAAACTGACAATATCAAGTGTTGGTAAATCTGTGAAGCAACTGGAACTCATACATCGCTGGTGAGGGTGTAAAATTACATTTTAGAAAACATTTTGGTAGTTTCTTATAAAATTGAACATACATTACTATATGACCCAGTAATTCTACTCCTAGAAATTTACTCGAGAAGTGAAATTTATGTCCACACAAAGACTTGTATACAAATGTTCATGGCATCTTTAATCATAATAGCCCCAAACTAGAAACAACTTAAATGTCTGACAACAAGTGGATGAGTAGTCAAATTGTGGTATAGCTGTACGACAGGATACTACTCAGTGATATAAAGGAAGGAACTATGATACATGCAGGGCAAAAGAAGCCAGGCATAGGAGTACATCCTGTATGATTCAATTTGTACAAAATTCTAGAAAAGGCGAAACAAAGCTCAGTGATAAAAAGCAGAACAGTGGTTGCCTGGGGCTGGGTTTGGGAGGAGGGGGTGGGAGAGATTGACCATAAAGGGGCACAAGGGAATTTCTGGGGTGACGGAAGTGTTATATATCTTGATTGTTGTGATTACATGGGTGTATACATTTGTCAAAACTCATTTAACTGCATGCTTCAAGTTTAAATTATTCCTCAATAGGGGCGCCTGGGTGGCGCAGTCGGTTAAGCGTCCGACTTCAGCCAGGTCACGATCTCGCGGTCCGTGAGTTCGAGCCCCGCGTCAGGCTCTGGGCCTGAAGCCTGTTTCCGATTCTGTGTCTCCCTCTCTCTCTGCCCCTCCCCCGTTCATGCTCTGTCTCTCTCTGTCCCAAAAATAAATAAATGTTGAAAAAAAAATTTTATAAAAAAAAAAAATAAAAAAAGCTTCCTCTTGCTCCCACTCACCCTGCCAGCAACTGTTTTGCAAGGCTCCTGAAGGAGTTGTCTATACTTACTGTCTGCAGTTCTGCCCCAGATTCTCTTACATCCACATCAGTCAGGCTTTCGTTCCCCTGGCGCATGGAACTGCTCTCCTCAGGACTAAAGTGACCTCCTTGTTGTTGTTGTTGTTAGACCCAATGGTCAGTTCTCATCTCTCACATCTGACCTGACATGCCAGAACATCCCACACAGTTCACATTTTTTTTCCTTGAATCTCTCTCTTCCTCTGGCTTCCGGGGCACAGTAGTCTCCTGGTTTTCCTTCCATCTCTGATTACTCTTCCCCAGTGTCTTTCTTTGGTTCTCCCCATCTTCCCAACCATCTACTGTTGGAGGGCCTTGGGATGCTCTTCCTGTAGGCGCTCAGATGATTTGATTTCATTGCATCTTAGGGCTTTAAATTCTACCCATATGCTGAGAATTCCCAAATCTGTACCTCAAGCCCAGGCCTCACTCCCAAATTCTAGCCTCATAATTCCAACTGCCTACTTGACCTTTCTATTTGGATGTCAAACAGACCTCTTACAGTAAACATGTTTAAAATTGAACCCCCTGGGGTGCCTGAGTGGCTCAGTCAGTTAAGTGTCCGACTTCAGCTCAGGTCATGATCTCGTGGTTCGTGAGTTCGAGCCCCGCGTTGGGCTCTGTGCTGATGGCTCAGAGCCTAGAGCCTGCTTTGGATTCTGTGTCTCCCTCTCTTTCCCTGCCCCACTCCTGTTGGCACTCTGTCTCTGTCTCTCAAAAATGAATAAACATAAAAAAAACAAACTGAACCCTTGATCTCCCATAAACCTGCCCACCTGCAGCCTCTTCTATCTCCGCAGATGGTCCTGACATCTCACCGTTTACGCAAACCAAAAACCTAGGAGTCATACTGGACTATTCTTTTTCTCCTACTCCATTGGCTTTGCCTTGAAAATACATCCATAAGGCGTGTATTCCTTGTCATTTTCACTACTACAGCCTTGGTCCAACCATCATCATCTTGTTGGAAGTAAACTAACTGGTCCTCCTACTTCCACTCTTGCCTTCCTACACTCTGTTCTCAACACAGCAACTAGAGTGACCTTGTTAAAATTCAAGTCAGATCACATCAAAGTTCTGCAGTGATTCCCTCTCAGAATAAAAGCAATGTCCTTGCAATGGCCTTGAAGGCCCTACATGATCTAGCCCCCCATCACCTTACCTCTGTGATTTCATCTCTTAATATTCTCCCCCTTGCTCATTCCTCTCCAGACACACTGGTATCTTTGCTATTTCTCAAACACACCAGGCGTATGCCTGCACACCTGAGGGTCTTTGCTCTAGCTGTCCTATCAGGATGCTCTCCTGGCCAACTTTCTCACCTCCTTCAACTCTTAGCATACAGATGTGCTACTGACCTACTCTCTTTAATACTGCAGCTTGACCCACCATCAGCACTTATTCCCTTACCTTGCTCTATTTTTCCTTTGTTTCCATAGCACTTACTTTCTAATGGGCTCCTGCACTGATTCGGTCATACCCTATGATCTCAAACAGATGCGGGCCTCTGGTTTGCTGGGCTACAGCTGTGTTCTCGGAGCCACTGCCCACTTCCCAGGACAGATGACACTTGTCTATAACTGCATCATCCAGCACAGAAGCTGCTACTGTGGCTTGAAATGTGGCCAGTCCAAAATAAGGTAGTACCAAAAAGAATATACAATATCTCAATAATTTTTAATATCGGCTCCACGTTACTATTTTGGATATATTGGGTTAAATAAAATATACTATTAAAATTAAGTTCAACTACTTCTTACTGCTTTTTAAAAATGTGGCAACTTGGGGCGCCTGGGTGGCGCAGTCGGTTAAGCGTCCGACTTCAGCCAGGTCACGATCTCGCGGTCCGTGAGTTCGAGCCCCGCGTTGGGCTCTGGGCTGATGGCTCAGAGCCTGGAGCCTGTTTCCGATTCTGTGTCTCCCTCTCTCTCTGCCCCTCCCCCGTTCATGCTCTGTCTCTCTCTGTCCCCAAAATAAATAAACGTTGAAAAAAAATTTAAAAAAAAAATGTGGCAACTAGATAATTTAAAATTACTCAGTTGGTTTGTATTCTATTTTATTGGGCAACACTGATCTATGAGGAAAAACTACACGTATCTAGAAATCAAATCCCAGGAGCTTGAAAATCCACATTTCCTAAATGTGAACTGATGGTTTTTTAATTTCAAGTTCTACTGAGATATAGTCAAATTCCATTAAGACAAATTCCCCTTCAGGATTTGACTAATTGGGTTAATGGGGACATTTGAAGAAGCTTTGGCTTTGTTTTTATTCCTCTATCATTTGGTGATGCTGTGGCCGGGGGGCTGAAAGCCCCCACAAAGGACATATGCAGTCTCCTCCTGAGATTCCTCTGACATTGAACTTGCACCTGCTCTCCTTTCAAGAGCACGAACTAAGGTTCTCCTTTCAAGCTCTCCTTTCAAGAGCATGAACCTGAGGCCTGGTGGGTCACTGAGGCTAACAGGGTGGAGGTGGGAGCCAAGAGGTGCCTGCCAGGCATGGGACAGTGTCCATGCCACGATGGCCCAGCTCAGACCTGCAGATGGGGCAGCTGGTGGGCTGAGATACTTGGGGCAGACCTGTGTGGGCTGGCAACCAAGCCGTAGGCCAAAGGGAAGGGCTTCCTCTTCTCAGGACTAAATGCAAGGGGCTTGTCTCTAGCAACCAATCTGTGGACGGAAATCAAAGGCTGTAGTGAGTTGCAAGAAAAACCAACTCCCATGGCCTGGAAACACCATGGACTTCTCGGAGGCCAGGCCCCAAGAGAAGGGCGCTGCAAAGCTGGGGGGCAGGGGAACAGACAATATAGAATGAGAGGCTCAGTGACCTAGGGACCTGGCACCAGGAAGACACAATGATGGAAGGAAGGGCTAGGTTAGGGAAACTTTCTCTGATCTCCTGAAATTCTGTAATCTCGTCATATTGTTTTTATATTCTTGAGGCAGGGAGGGGGAGAGGGAGGCAGAGCACTTGAAAACTTGCCCCTGGTTCTAAGCTCTCTGCCTCTGGTCTTTCCTGGCAGTGGTGACTCCTTCCTGACTCAGGGCTGAGGATCTGGACTAGGAATTATACTCTTAAATTTCTCATGAAAAGCAAAAGAGAATTTCATCTTCTGTTTTCTCCCCTTTCTCACTGTGCCAACTGTAGGAAAAAAAAGAAAAGAATATGCGAAGTGAAAAGGATTCACAAGAGATTGCAAGGCTAGAAAGTGAGTAAGAAATGAAAGCAACAAAACAAAATGTTATTTTTAATTTGCTTTCAGAACTCAGAAATGCAGGTCAATCATTTAGGACAGGGGAGGTGGACGCCACTGTGCCAGATGCTCCAGGGATGAACTGGGCAGGAGGTAATTTCAGATGAGAACCAGGGAAAATCTGTCCGCAGCCAACTTGCCACTGGGGAACGGAGCATCTCCTCAGCGGACAGAGGAATTGCTCTCAGTCTTGCCAGAAGCCCCGGAGAAGCAGGACTGCTGGTGGCAGTGGGTGGGGGTGAAGGGCTTGGCCTCTCCAGAGGGCTCTGCTTCCATCCCAAAGCCATTGTCTGCCTGTGAATGTGCTTTCATCAGCTGCAAACCGTATTTATGGCTTCTCGGAATTTTCCGAATGAAGTAATTTTTTTTCCCCCAGCCCATTTTTCTTCACAACTGAAATCGGATCCCCGCATTCCATGGAGACAAACAAAACACCATGACATCACCACCGGGGAGCTGTCATTTTAGACACCATCGCAGCCTTTTGTTCAAGATCAAATAGATGTGCTTTGCCTAGTGGAGGTCACATCCTGCTCCGGCAGAGGGGATGGTCCTCTGGTTTCAGCTTGAGGAACTGCGAGGGCAGCGGGTACGCTGGGCAGACTGCAGGGTGGGACTGGACAGGAAGGGCCCAGTGGTGAGGTCTTTCTGCTTCTTCTCCAACTGCAGAGCTTCAGGATGCCGCTCCATGACACCAGTCATGATGGGGACAGCCCCAGGTGTCAGTGACACTGATGTCTGTGTCTCTCCTTTCTTGGCCTCTGATGCTGAGGCGACAGCAGCCAGGTGCAGAGAGCACTGACCGGGGGAGGTTAGATGGTTTGGGCTCAACTTCTGTCTCGCCTTGCAAAGCTCCCAGGCCTGTTTCCTCGGCTGTAGAAGTGGGGAGGGTAAAAATTCCCAATTCTGCTACCCTACAGAGATGCACTGGGAGCAAATAAGAGACCAAATGTCTGGACCTGGCAAGCACAGGCCCTGCTTCTCCAGTTCTTGCCCTTACATCTCTCAACACCCAGAGGAAAGTGCTCTGTAGCTCCTCAAATGTCCTGGGCTGCCGGCAGGGAAGATTTAGGGGAGACTGGTAGAGACTGGTCAACATCCTCTTGAGCTAACAATTAAGGTATTATTTAAAGAAAGCTCAAAAAAGAGTGCAAGCCATCCAGTCATCTGGGAACCCAATCAACCAGCGCCTGAGGGTCTGACCAATTACAAGAAACCAGAAGTTTACCTTTCTGCAAATAAATGCTTCCTAAAGTGCAGGGTGGGGGGCCGGCACAGTTCTAGGTAGTGGTTGGCCTAAAGGGAAAGGAATCATGTAAATATGGTAATAATTGAGAGCTATCAGAGCCTGCATCCAGTATTTTACATACTTTATCTCATTTGAGCCTCTGGTTCGTGTTACTATTTTCATGTAACAGACGGCGAAGCTGAGGCTAAGGAAGAAGGGTAGGTTAACCTGCCCAAGGCCCCTCCACTGTAACTGGAGGCTTGGGGATCCAAAGCCAGGTCTGACTCCAAGGCCCATGTGCTTAACCACTAAGCCACTCTGCCTCCCAATCACAAATAGAGGGTGTCTGTGAAAAGGCGTGTCTTGCTTGTTTTCACGTAAACCTGGTAAATAGCGAGGTAGAGAGACCAAGTTGTGGGTTTGTGTGTGTTTCCTGTGGAGCGCTGAATGTAGGGCATCTTGTCTCATCCCTTTATACCCATTCTTGCAACTCAGAAGCACCAGAAGCAAGACTGTTACATCTTATTTTATCAAAATTAAATTAGTAAGAAACATTATACATCCAAACACATTTTAAAAGGCTGACATTTGACATAAGGTGGTCATCTATATTTATTCCACAACTGGAAATGTTATTTGAGCAGTTGTAAGCCAGCGAACCAAAGTTAGGCCAAGGTCTTAGTAATTAGGGCTCTATTAACGACGACAAAGAATCTCAATCAGCAGGAGAAAAGGGCCTTAGCCATTTATCTCTGGAATTGAAATAATTTCTAATAAGAATAAGCCTTTTGATTTAATAGCAGCCGTACTGCCTTTTGATTAAATAGAAGTTGTATTCTGAGTAGGGTCAAATGTTTAGTCTGTCCAAAGAGAATCATAGTGTAGGATGGGAGCTCCAGGCCCCTTCTATTTATAGCATTCTTTGAGTCAGGACCAAAAGAACAAGAACTCCTTGCTTTTCAAGTCTCTCTCTCTCTTCCAATTGTAGCTCAAGACAAGGGCAGGGCAGGCCTTGCAAAGGTGAAGGGTTTGCCAAAGGGGAAATGAGATAGTGCAGAGCTCCTCTGTGTTGGGGCCTGGGGCTGCCACTTTCCAGAATGGGAATTCTAGTATGGCTGAAGGTTTAATTAAGGATCTAGTGCATTCCCATTTCATGTGACCAACACGTACTTACTGAAGATCATAAGAAGTAATGGTGGGTTTCTAAGCCCAGCCATTCAAATATTTTTGTAATCAGGCAAGATGATGTCACTACATCTCTGGGGAGCTGACACTGTCAACATAATCTAAGATACAAAAATCATGAGAAAAATATCATACTTCTCCAACAGAAAAAAAAAAACTCAACCAGAAAGAAAATACAGGCTTCCATAACTTTCATTTACTCTGTGATATTCAAGAGTAGCTCCATTAGAAGAACCCTTTTGAAAGAATATAGTCAATGTGGCTACCCACATCCAGATCTTTTTTCATGGAACTCAATGGAAATCACCCTCTTCAGTCTTACACAGTATGCGTTTCACACTTTAAAACTTCACAATTGGTTTAAAAGGTACACCTCCCTTCTCAATGTAAACCTGAGATTGGGCAGTCCAGCTGTCATGAGCTTGAACATTTTCCTTCTCCCTGCCACTAGAGAGGTCTCTGGGCTCTCTATTCATGGCCAAGAAGCTCCATTATTAAGAAGGGGCAGCAAGAGCTAATGAGATGATGCCTGGAAGGTTCTATGGGTTCTTCTAGAGCTGCAGCTATGAAAGATCATGGACAGGGGTCTTAATTAATAAAGCAGTTATTAAAGCTTCCTCAGCAAATCAGAAATTGTGCGATAATGCATAGATCATTTGCACATAAAAAGCTAGAGTTCAGTTAATAAACCACGTAATTTACTCTGTCAAGAGAAGAGGAGAACTTACAGTGAATCCCTATAAAGTACTGAGTACTTTCAGATGTGGTGACTATGAGAAGCACCATGTTCTAATGGCTACGCACTAAACTGGAAGAATCAGACTCTTGATATGGTCTACTCCATGACCTTAGGAAACGGACCAAATTTTTTAAGCCTTGTATTCTTTATGGGAATAACAACACTATCAAAATTTATAGGGTCAGGCACACACACACGCAGGCACACAGCACACAAATAAATAAGTTTTATTCATTGTTAAGTCTGTGAGGTAGGTATTAATTGTTTTACAGATGAAGATAGAGGTTTAGAAAGCTTACGTTATTTGACCAAGGTCAGTCTACACTAATGATAGCTGGGATCTATCACCTGCCAAGTCTGCATGTTTTTCAGTATAACCACAGCCTCCACTGTCTGATCCAGAACTGGAATAAAAGCTAAAATAAAAGATGAATGTGGACAGTTTAATAAGGTGAAATACAGAACTGACACCTGATTAAATATGTCTCCCTTCCCCCAAGTCAGGGGCCCTACTAAACTACAGGAGAATCAAAGCCTGAACTTTATAAGAGTAAGAATTTGGGGATCCCTACATTTTATTTTCTCCTAAACTTGAGTCACAGGCTTAAAAGAACAGCCTGTACTGATGGAATGGTGCTAACTAGGACTATCCAAAGTAAGTTATAGCTTTTTGCCAGCTTTCTGTGCCAGTGACCTAGAAACTATTCCAAAACCTATTTTTGTTTCTTAGGGGCTGAAATTTCAGTGAAATAGCCCAGCCAACTCTGACCCAGAGTCTTCAAATTTAGAAATTAATCCCCCAAAGAAAGGGAATATTAATTTTTATTGTGACAGAGAATAACCTTCTCGTAGCCCAATTATATGAAGAAATAACTAACTCTGTAAGGCCACACTTCTAAATACCTGCAATTTATAGCATGAAGTTGCAAGAGAATTAGGCTGGCAATTATTCTGTAACCTCCAAAAAGGTTTTCTGGCGTATGGACGCATACAAAAATGCACAAGGACTCTGTGGAGATAACACTACACACCATGCAATTTTAAAGGCACATTAAAGAATACTGTAAAAAAGAGAAACAACAGAAACTTGCTTAACTACGTTTACTCATAAAATAATATATGCACACGTTAACTTGTAATGATTCCTATAACACCAACAAAAATTTAGCCATCTATTATTTTTTTTATCTCAAGAGTAGACTAACTATTGTACATCTCAAGTTGGAACTACCCTAAATCAGAGCTTATTATGAAATTGACCCTTAGACGAATTTGGACATGAAACAATAACCCAGATTAAAACGAAGACAGAACCTTTAGGGAAAAAAGGGAGCAAGAAGGATCTACTGAGCACCCCTAAATGAGGGATTGATTCCTAAGCAGATACAATGACAGTTTTATTCTGAGTGTGGGTTATTCTATCTTCACTCATTTCTCACTGCCTTTTTAGAACTACTTCAAAGACGTGGGAAAGGACACCTGGGAACACCTACCGAGGCGCGCACTTAACACCCACAGACAGCTCTGCCACACTAGAGAACTAAGCACTTGTGTGCCCTATGAAGCACCGGCAAGCAGGGCATTTTAGAACTCCAGGGCTGACATTTACAAACAGTCCTGCCACCATCAACCCCCTCACTTTAATTAAAAGTATACAGCAGACAACAGGACTGAAGAAATCATTGGTCTCATAAGAAAAAGTACTGCGACTGACCAGTGAAAAAGTGCTGCAGAAACTCGGGGGCCTTCTGCCTAGCTTGCTTGCAGCGTCTCCACGGTATGAGGTGCTTTACGGAGAAAATGCATTATTCAAAGTGGATTTTTTTTTTTTTCTTTTTGAGAAGTGAAAGATTTCTCAAAGTGTTTATCAAGAGAAGATGATAGGTTTATGGTGATTCTCCCATAAACAAATAGAGTGGGGTTACAGGAAAATACATTCTTGGCTTGTGACATTATCGGTATACTGATCAGATCAGTATTTTGGTTATCTATTTAAAGTACACAGAACACAATGGCAAGAAAGTTTATATTTATGTGTTTAACACTAGATGCTTGTATTTTTAAATCATATTTACAATAGCCTATGGGGAGGCTGGAAGATGTGGATAAGGGAAAGTGTGATAAGAGTAACACATTGTATCTGGATTCACATGAACAGTTCTGCCCCTTTCTTACTTGTGGGACCAGTCGTTCAGTCCCTCTTGGTTCTCTTCCCCTCCCTAGATGACTCCTAATGTCCCTTCATCTTTAAAATTCTGTGACTATAGTAACTTGTTAATGTTCAATTTTCAGGCTTCACTCAAATGATTCATCAGAATGCTAGAACAGAACCAGGACATTCGATTTCCATAGTTTAGAATAATACCTGCTTATTCAGCAGAACTTAAATCCTTTTTGGAACAGAGAGACATATGAATAAGGGAAATGGACAATTGCAGCTACACCAGAAACCATAAGTGTATTTTGAATAGGAGGCAACAAACTATTGTTTCCAATTGCAAAAGGTCAGTGCATTTTCTGCCGTTAGTTTCCAGAAATTGAGTTTTGTTGTAGTCCTACCAATCCACACTAATAAAAACAACTGTCTAATTAACTATCCATCCCCTATCACGATTCAAAAATAAATAAAGGGACTTAAATAATACAGAATTACATAAATAAAAAGTGAACATTTAGAATAGGAAAATAAAACTAAAGATGAGCATATAAACTAAACCAGGAATGAGGTTCTAGTAAAACACCATACTGACCTACATTGCAATTCCTTCTAGGGGAACCCAAATTTGGCATTAAGCTTTCCAGCATCTAGCGTGAATGAAGGATTCTACCTAATCGATTACATAAGTCATAGAGAAAATAAGATGAAAGCAAAAGCTCAGAAGAAATGTAGTTGTTTGCAGTTGGAAGAAGCAAAAGTTCCTCTTCAGGTGTCTTCATAAAGAATTGTGCCAACAGCATCCTCAGTAACTTTCCTTAAATAAATGCAGTGGTTGGGTACACAGGACTAGTCCTCAGGACAATTCTGGAAGCATCAGAGCACGAGGGTGAGGAGAGATTTCAGTCCTACACTGCCTGAACACAAATCCCAGCTCTGCTGTGTGACTCTGGGCATGCTATTCCAACCTGCCTCAGGTGCCTCAGTTCTCTAACTGTGAGGTAGGAATAATAACAGCAATTTGCAAAGATTTTGCAAGTCAAAAAGCATTGCATAATATTACCACCTATTAATGAAGAGCTAGGGAAAGTAATTGGGGTGGGCACTGCCATAATACAATTCAATATCTAGCTTTACACTGATCTGATTTGACCTCATAGATTTTAGAACAGTGCTGTCCAAAACAACTTTCTCGTGATCAATATAATAGCCTCTGGTGGCTACTGAGCACTAGAAATGTGGCTAGTTTTATTTTAAAATGTACAGTGGAATTGGGTTTTAGGCTCAGATAACTGTGCTAATGAAGTACTGAATTTCTAATTTAAATAACCCACTAGTAACAAGTGGCTATTACACTGGACAGCAGGGATACAGAAATTTCAGAAAGTTTGAACCGTACTAATCTGTAAACATCTTCCAAGCAATAACCTATAAATATCATTATAAGTTTTTGGCGAATATTAGGCAACGAGGACTCCATATTGCTTTCCTTGATATCTAACTGGAGTGTGGCCACCTCTACTGCTGGTTAACGTAGACGCTATGCCTTGGGCTTTGGAACTGTCCCTTTTTGATGTGCAAAGTCCAAGGTGGCTGAACAGAACACGAGACTATCTGTGCTGTGAGGAAAGTCAAGGAGGTATCCATGGCAAGGCTAAAATCGTCCCTAGAACACTGCGTTGAAGCTACTTCAGAGCACAAAGAAATGTCTTGATCCCAAAGTTCTACTTCGTCTAGCACAGTTGGAATGGTTTGGACCTGAGCAATTTTAGAGAGTAGTTTCACTGGATGCTGGTCTCTTCCCTGCATCCCCCACACAGTGTTCTATTAACTTTGAGAAATGCTACTTCTTGGTGTACCCTCTAAGATAAAGTATGTGGAAAAGGCGTGCCAAAATGACTAAGTAAGAGAAGCCGTAGTATGAATGTGAGTCCCGGATAAAAGTAATATTTGCTAAAATCAGTAGAACGATTTCATGTAAGTCATGTAATATAAAGGCAAAATAAGTGGAAAAAATTGATAATAAAATGTGTATTTCAATACATAAGTGCTCAGGCAAAGACACACAAGAAGAAGCAATAAAATCATTAGTACCTACACGCTACGTATGTCGGTGACTTAATTATCATCAGTGGCACTGCTGTCAGTAATAAGATTTTTTAAAACAGGTACTAGAATTCTTGGTCAAGTTTTAACAAAATAAAAGTATGATCTCATAGGTGTATTCTTGGAGAATTCAGTGTATATTAAAACTGTATTAAAAAAAGAGTTGGGTTTAGGGCTCAAATACCTAAGTTGTTTTTTTGTTTATTTTTTGAACGTTCAACAGAACATTCAAGAATCATGTAACATAAGGAATCATTCTTTGTTGAGCTAAACCATCCCATGTGCTGTGGGACATAAAACATCTACGGCCCCCGCCCTCCAATTGCCAGCCATACCTCCAATCATTTCTAAAACCTCTGCTCCAAGCCAATCATATAAACTCTATCACTTCCACCCTCACCAATCACTGGTTCATCAATCCGGGGTTAATCATCCAATGCGTGGCCTTGGATGGTTTGAGAATAGGGAACATGATGTAATGTCAGTCAATGAAACCCAGAGAAAGTTTGCTGGGGGCTGGCAGGCAGGAGAACACCACAGGAAGACAGTCTCTTTCTTCTTTTCTACATGGTTACAGATGGATGCTGAGGCCTGAAAATTCTAAACTCTTCTCAAAACTAGCTGGAGGATGAAGTCAACAAGCAGGAGGGCAGAGCCAGAGGCATAGGAGAACTTGAAGTAAATGTGAATTGTCCCCCTTGGGGTCTACTCTACCTCTAGACTTCCAGTTCTGTAATTTCCTATGGTTTAAACCACTTTCTTTTTTTAAAGTTTATAGTTTATTTACTTATTTTGAGAGGGGGGAGGGACAGAAAGTGGGGGGGAAGGGGGAGAGAGAGAGAGAGAGGGAGAGAGAGAGAGAGAGAATGAATCTCAAGCAGTCTCCACCCTGCCAGCACAGAGCCCAACTCGGGGCTCAAACTCACGAACCGGGAGATCATGACCCAAGCTGAAATCAAGAGTTGGGACACTCAACTGACTGAGCTACCCAGGTGCCCCTAAACCACTTTCAATTTGGATTTTGGTTTCCTGCAGCTGAAAGCACTTTGATACATACATGAACAATTTCATACCACAGAAGCCTAATTGAAAAAAAAAAACAACCCAAAATAACAAACAATAGCAGGTGAATATTGTTCCTGGACTTCTATACCATGTATATACCAATTACGCTTTTTTGTTCGTTTGTTTTTTACCTGTAGTAAACGAGCCTGCACGCTCACACGTAAAGGAGCTACACTGATTGAGACTGCAATTCTTCCATCAAGTGGCAAGCATACTGTAGAAGAATGACCAACACAGGTCACACATGCAGCCTGTTAAAGAAAACATGTGAAATGTAAACAGCTATTTAATCTGAAAAAATATATAGCTACAGGTGAAAGAGTAATAGTATATTTGTGTACAGAGCTCTCCACAGCACAAGATGCGCTGTGGGCAGACAGGGTAGTACAATGGACTAAGCCCCTGGTCTCATGAAGCTTGTAACTGCAGACAAATGAAACAAACAAACAAAAAAACCATGTTTATTGAGTATGGTAACTGATGAGAAATAACAGCAAAGAAGGTTAATGAGGAAAGGTTTTCTGAACGTGCCAGAGTCTGGACTTCAATTTTAAAGGTTGGTAATACTGAGAGGGTGTGGGAAACGGTGCATTACAGGATGAGGAAAAGTTAAGGATTTAGGAACGTGGGTGGAAATTCAGTAACATACTGCTGTGATGGCAGCAGGTAAGGTTCTAAACGACTCCACTGTCAGGTTCATGACACACTAGGGCAGAAGGAAAAAAAACTTATAATCGGAGACAGAGCTTCAACTTGGAATGCCTGTTCCACTATGTCCATCTGTCTGACTCTGGACAAGTAACAACCCTCCCTGTGTCAGTCTCCTCACTTTACAAAATGGGAAAATGTAGCTTGGGTCGGGGGCTTAGAGATGACACGAGACAAGGCGTGTTAAGTCACATGTGATAGAAACGTACTTGATCATGGTAGTTATCACTTAAAATTTTTTTTTAAATGTTCATTCATTCATTTCCATAGAGAGAGAGTGCAAGCAGGGGAGAGGCAGAGAGAGGGAGAGAGAGGGAATCCCAAGCAGGCTTCGCGCTGCCAGCACAGAGCCCAATGTGGGGCTCAAACTGAGATCATGACCTGAGCCAAAACGATGAGTCGGACGCTCAACCTACAGAGCCACCCAGGCACCCCAGTTATTACCACTTTTAAATCCACAAGCAATTCACCCAAATTAGTTTCAGAGCCTTTACAAGACAAACTTATGTGAAACTGAATATACCTATTACATCAGGTTTGAAAAAAACTTTTCAAAGGTTGCAATTGCAACCTATTCCAAAGTGCCCTAAATTAAAAGACAATGACACACTAAGAAAATGGGTTGTGATTAAGAGACTACAAATGCATTTATTGGTAGTATTACTGAATGCTGAATGCAGAGATTAAAATACAAAGAAATCAGCACTTAAAATCTTTTAAAAATGCAGTATCTTTACATACACATTAACCAATTCTGCATATCTATTTAGATTTACAAACACAGAGCAAATTCCAAAGCTTTCACTCTGAGTATACTTTGATTTTGAGTTCTAGTGTTCTCCATTCTAAAGTCAGTTGTTTTTTTGTTTTTTTGCTGTTTTTACCAAGTATGATTTATTTTGTTTCTACCCTAAAAACAAGACTCTGTGAGCTGATCCTGAAGCAGTCCGTTAAATCAGGAATTTTTAAACAGCTCTTTAAGAGAGGATAAAGCCACATGAAAGAAAATGCCTAATCCTACATATACAAATACAAGAGAAAATATCAAGAAGCAACAAGAATCACAGAAATACCAATCCTACTCTAAACTATAATTTCTACTTCTAGCGACAATTCAATTAGCAGTAGCTTAGATGCCTTTGTTCTAAAAAATAAAACCATTAGTTCTTTCACTACAGTTTTCTGACTATACTCAATGAATAATTAGGAACTCTTCATATACTTTTTAAAAACTCAAGAATATGATTTATATGGAACAGGATCGTTAACAAACAAAACAGACCTTCAGACATACTGCTGAAAGCTGCAACATAGTTTGGGGACCAGATTTCAATTTCTCCAGTATTGCCATTCATAAAGAGTTTATGGCACCCAGCACATAGTGCTCAGCACTGTCAACTTAGAAACGCTCCATCCGTTCCTGCATCAGAGAATTACTGACATGGATGGAACTGTTACAACAATTCTCACAGGGCCTCTAAACAGGACTGCGTGTAAAGTGAAATGATTGTAAACTATGAGACTGCTGTGACAACACAGCTAGCTTGTAGAGCTGAATTTTTCACAATAATAACACTACAGAATTACAGTGACAGCGACATGTGTCAGAGTCCTCTTTACTGCTGACTGTTAAGTAGAAAAAGAGTTTTCTGACTATGTTTTTGATGAACAGGAGATCTTTGAAGTAAACATTAGGGGAAACTGGAAAGTGGACAAAACGAACTCAAGTTCTCTTTTTCACAGACATTAACAACAAGCAAAGCAGTTTACAAAAAAGAAAACCAAAGTTGCCCTATAAACAAATAAATATATGATCAAATCAATCATTTTTGAAGGAAATATAGCTCATTTTCAAAAGTTCTGTTTGGTTTGTAACTAGACTCGAAAATATTAAAATAAACCAAACAGATTCCTGCAATACTGATTTGCTATGTGAAAAAAGCACAAGTTTTAAGCTGAATCTTTCATTCTCTCCCCTATTCCCAGAAAATGAAAAGAAAAAAAAAACAACGGGGGACTCTTGCAAAAATAAAACCAAAACCAACCAGCTAACAAAAAGTAATCATATAAGAAAACCCTTTTTTTTGAACACCTCACTTTAGTTGGTCCCATAATCAGGGTAAGGTTTCCATAGCAAGGACTCCCTAGTCTCTTCCTTTGTCTTTCATTCTTCAATCACCTCCACGTTTTTATCAAACAAGGCTATGTGAAGGCTTTCCTAACAAGTCAGGCTGAGTCAGAGGTAGCTTTAGGATGAAGTATACTTGACTACGGTATGTGGTTAGTTCAAATGAAAACGTTACGTTGTTCAAAAAGGATTACAACACCTAAAAATGCACAACGAAAAAAATGTACAGCCCTCACTGCCTTGCCTAAGAGAAAACTTTTGAGAAACTCAGAACGTTGAGGCACTGGCCTCATCCCCATTAGCCCCTTTAATGCACCAGTTCAGGTTGGTTCTCCACAAAAGGGAGCACCCCGCTCACATAGTAGGCAATGCCAAGAGACAGCAAAGCAATGACAAAGATCAAGAGCAACACCCTCCAGAAGCCCAGATCCTCGACAAACTCCTGCCATGTGGTTCGGAAGCTGGACAGGACTCCTTCCCCTTGCTGCAGATTGGGGTTGAGGAGAGAATGGCTTTCCATGGCACTGTGAAAGGAGCAAAGAAAAAGGAAAGAAACATGAACAACGCATTCCACCCATTTTGGAGACATACAACAGTAGCCACGTAACTTAGAAAAGACAGGACACAACACTTATAAGAAGAAAACTGACCTATTCCTACTCGCACACATTCAGATACTCATGTACGTATCTGCATATATCTGCACAGTCTACCTTTGACTGTAAATTAAGCCACAATGACTATGTTTCTTGGTTTAGTATCCAGCAGAGCCAGAGTTAAAAATCATTTTCTAATGAAAAGCTCCTAAGCAGAAGTCTATTTTTTTAAAGTTTATTTTTGAGAGAGAAAGGGGGAGGGGCAAAGAGAGAGAGGGAGACAGAGAATCTCAAGCAGGCTGCACACTGTCAGCAGGAAGCCCGACGTGGGGCTTGAACTCAGGAAACCGTGAGATCATGACCTGAGCCAAAATCAAGGGATGCTTACCCGACCGCTCCCCCAAGCAGAAGTTGTGAAGTTTGTAAAATGAGTTGTTTCAAACTCACAGTATCTAAGTAACCAAATTTTGGTTACTTTAAATTTAGAATTCAAAACAAAGATTCATACCTTGAGAATTCATGTTAATGAAAATAAGATGGGTAAATCTAAAAAAGCATTTTATATACAGTGTGTGAATCTTAGAGTTAAAAGGAAATTATCATTTATTTAGTTCAATTATCTGACCAATGAAGGAATTTCTTCTTTTAACTGTAATCCTCTAAAAACGGACATTTAGCTCAGTCTGTCGTACATCTGAACAGGCCTAGTCATTATGGAATTCTTAATAGCTTCCTCCTACTGGTTGTAGCTCTACCTGGTACAGTAATACAAAATAAGTTTATTTCACTTCTGCATAAAGGCTGAATCTAATTGAAAATACAGTAGCACAAGTGTCATAAAAACGGATTCTTATGACGCCTGGGTGGCTCAGTTGGTTGAGCATCTGACTCCTGCTTTCAACTCAGGTCGTGATCTCACGGTTTGGGAAATAGAGCCCCATGTGTGGCTCTGCGCTGACCGTGTGGAGCCTGCTTGGGATTCTCTCCCTCTCTCTCTGGCCCTCCCCCCGGGTGTGCACACGTGCTCTCTCTCTCAAAATAAATAAACTCTGAAAACACTAAACAAAGAAACACAGATTCTTGATTCTGGTTTTCAGAACTCTATCAGTGAGAAATATGACCCCTATAAGTAGAAAACAGGATATCTGACTTTGGTATTTGGAAGGCCACACTGTGATGAATTCAAAGCTCAAAGGGATTAGCACCCACAACTATGTCACAACATACAGGCCCAATAACAGGGTAGCATTTAGATTAAAACCACAATGACCATAATCATACGTGCCAACTATCTCTTGCTTATAAAAGGTCATTTACTACCCGTCCTCAACCCCTTCTCTTCATATTCTTCCAACTATCTGGGTATAGAACAATGGAAACAGTCTGGTTCATCATGCAAAAACCGGCATTCTTATCTAACCTACAATTTTACTTTACTTCTTGATACTTAATCAGAGGTCCTTCAGCATTTACTAGTATTAGAGGTCTTCTCTAGAATCATAGGAAGCTGACTTCCTAATTGACCAGTCTGCCTGACATCCAAGCTTTTCTTCTTTATATATGAAAAGATGTTTATTTTCTAAATAAGGACGGACATTTTCAGTGGGAGTCTACCAGAACACAAAAATTTAAAAAAACCAAGTTCAAAAATAAGATTGGAACTTTGAGGAGGTTTAAATACATAATACCATAAATAGATAAAGAAGTTCAGGACAGGTTAATTTTGACTTATTCAAAATTTATTGACTATGTCCAAGTTGACATAATCTCATACTCAAAGATGTTGGGTATAAAATGAGAATTTAGTTGGGCATTCTCTAGGAGCTCATGAAGCTCTGCCAATCAGAATTTCCTAGGGTGACTTTATCCAGTGAAATGCTTTCTACTGTATGTGTGCACATAATACTTTTTTTGTACGTGTGTCATCAACACTGTCTTTGTCATCCTATGCTCACAAATTAAAAAATGACTACATTAAGCTTAGGACATATGGGGGAGTGGGGAAAATATTTTTCACCATCTTGATTTATGGGCCCTTTAGTTATGTTTTGTCTCAGAGAACCCTAAGGGTAATGGAAAATGCTAGGTACATTCAAAACTTGCTTCATGTTCTGCTAATCATCACACAGCTTTGCCACAATGCCATGTGCTAGCCAATTCCATTAAGCTTTATTCCTTAACCTTTTCTATTGATAAAATTCACATATCATAAAATTCATCTTTTTAAGTTGCACAATTGAGTGGTTTTTAGTATATTCACAAAGTTGTACAACCATCTCCACTGATTTCAGAACATATTCATCGCCTCTATAATAAGCTCTGTACCGCTTAGCAGTCACCGTCCATTGCCTCTTCCGCCAGATCCTGGCAACCACCAATCTACTTTCTACGTGCTGATTCTGGACATTTCATATAAATGGAATTATCTATGTCTTATTTAACCGGCTTCTTTCATGTAGCATGGTTTTAAAGCTCATCCATGTTGTAGCATATTGATATATGGTATGTCCTGCCTTTTTATGGTGGAATATTCCACTAGATGCATGAATGACATTTTGTTTATCCACTTATCAGCTGATGGACTTTTAGGTGGTTTCCACCTTTGGGCTTTTATAACTAATACAGTTATAAACATTCATGTACAAGTTTTTGTGTGAATGTATGTTTTCAATTTTCTTGGGTATACACCTAAAGTGGAACTGTTGGTTCATATGGTAACTCAGTGTGACTTTCTCAGAACTGCCAGACTGCTCTCCAAAGCAGCTACTCTACTTTACATTCCCACCAGCAGTGTATGAGGGTTCCAGTTTCCCCACATCTTGCCAATACTTGCTGTCATTCCATCTTTTTGATTACAGCCATCCTCCTGGGTATGAAGTAGTAACGCACTGTGGCTTTGCTCTCCATTTTTCTAATGACCAACGATGTTGCCTTTAAGCTTTTTAAGCGTCAACCACCACGTGTCTACCATGATACTGAGGGGCAAGAATAAGATAGGGCAACGAGGTAGTACAAGTATTAATAATTCAATCTCTGGGGGCACCTGGGTGACTCAGTCGGTTGAGCGTCTGACTTCGGCTCAGGTCATGATCTCACAGTTCATGGGTTCGAGCCCCATGTCAAGCTCTGTGCTGACAGCTCAGAGCCTGGAGCCTGTTTCAGATTCTGTGTCTCCCTCTCTCTCAGCCCCTCGCCTGCTCCTGCTCCGTCTCTCTCTCTCTCTCTCTCTCTCTCTCTCAAATAAACATTAAAAAAATAAAAAATAAAAACAATTCAATCTTTGGGGGCACTGGGTGGCTCATTGAGTTAAGTGTCCGACTCTTGATTTCGGCTGGTCATGATCTCACAGTTCGTGAAATTGAGCCCCAAGAAGGGCTCTGCACTGACAGCATGGAGCCTGCTTGGGACTTTCTCTCTCCCTCTCTCTCTACCCCTACCCTGCTTGCATGTGCATGCTCGCTCTCTCTCAAAAATAAACATCAAAAAAAAAAAAATTCAATTTTTTAAGAACTGGCTTTACATAATGCTATAAATAATACAAATCCTTATACTAAAGGAAATGACAGGTATGCGAAAAAAGCAGGAGTAAATATTTCATACTGAGCCACTCAAATGACTAATTATACGTACTACTTAGCTAATAAGTAATCACAACTGAGGCAAAATAAAGCTAAAAGTATACTTCTGACAGGAAGATGCCAAGAAACTGGCTACTAACAAAATATAGCAAGGAAGGTCCCCAAAATATACCAAGCAGAAACACATTCTTGGACATTTTTCACGGCAAAGAAGCTTAAAGTATTTGTGAAAATAAACTTCAAGTTATCTTGGAAGAGCATATTTAACAAATAATAGATAACTCAATGTTATTATGTTGCTTATAGCATTCTGTCAATCCGGGGTACGGAGGTGTGAGAAAAGGGCTTGCCAAGGTATCTCAATGTATCTTGGACTTCCTGCTTATTTTATCTCCTTGTCAGCTTCCAGTGATAACTCATGAGCAGCATGTGCTGTTCTAGAAGTAAAACTTACTCTGGACAGCAGTAAGTTCTTGAAAGTATCTAAACAAATAGTCCTAAACTTGAGAGTGGAATTAATGGTTCCCACAGAGTACACCAGCCAGAACGTGAAGAGGAGGGAAAGCAATCATGGGTACAAAGGAATCAAATTAAGGGTCAACTATAAAAAATAGAGATGATTCCATTAGCACTCACAGAAACCATGACCCCAGCAGTCTACGTGGACCATACTATCCTATTTCCCAGTCCAGATCAGTCAAGCTACTGGGTCAACAGCTGATGAGGGCCCTTGAAATATATTCTTTTGAAAATTTTGGGAGGGGACGATAGTAGGTGCATCATCCTTCCTACCCTGTAGTATCTGGATGGCTGCAACTCCATGGCAGTCAACCAAAACCCATGCTAGTACAACTCAGTCTGGCCTACTAACTTTACCTGATGAGCCAGTGGGGCCAGGAGTTTCAGAGCTCCCTGAACTGTACTGTAATCTGCTTCTAGATGAGAAACGATGAGACACTAAAGACCCTGTCAGTCACCACATCTTAGCCTCAGTTTCTTACAAAAGCCCAAATTTCATTTGTTCCAACTCATGGGAGAATCACTTTCATTTTCCCATTACAGAATTGTGTGTTAAATCTTAATTTCCCTCCTCCGGTTTTTGCTTGTCCTCAGCACTCCACTTTCCTGCCTTTGAAAGGGCCTTTTTGGTCTTAGTTCTAATACTGTCCAAGTTTTGAGCCTTATCTTTCTCCCCATTTTCTGAATTCCATTCTGTTTGTGACCTGCACTTAAAATTCTCAAACTCTTTGCTTCCCTCCCTAATACGCAGCTCTTAACTACCTCTTCTCTCTTATGCTGACAATATTGCAGGATTCCTTGCACGGGTCTAACAGAACATTACATGCATGTGGGCACGTAGTCCTTTCTGTTAACAGCTTCTCAATTGTAATCTGGAGCCATACGGACCTATATAAAGTTCAAAGAAAGTACCAAAGCTCTGTACTTGAAAGCAAATAAATAGAAAGCTCACAAAGTTGTCATAAAAGATCTAAGGACTTAAAGTGGCTTGCCCCTTAAAAAATTATATCGTAAGTACCTTTCACTCTCAGCTGTCTGCATGGTCTCCAGTTTTGAGTGAGTTCCTCTGTTAAATCCTTTTACCTCTTGTTCTTCCAAAGATTCCAGCAATCGGATGACATCTTTATTCACTCCTCTGCGCTTTGCCAGAACTAAGGGTGTAGCACCTTGATGATTGCTAAAAAAGTTCATACATATAAAGAGATCATCGTAACAGCTGGACTGTATTGTTAGTACCCATTTGTGTATATCTCAGTGATAAGGCAAAGGCCAAATTAACTCAAAATTAAAGCACAGTGCAGAACCAATAGTTGAACTAGAACTTGAATTTTGAATTCACCTATTTTTTTTCTTATAGGGAAAAAGGAAGAATATACAGGTAAAAGTGAATAAATGAGAATAAATAAATCAAAAAGAGAGCTGCTTCTTAGAAATTAATTGGAAAGTTCCAGATTCTAGATTCACTCTTATCTGACATTTATATTTTATAGCAAAAAAATACATTACAAAAAGTCTAAGAATTAAAAACAAAAGTCTAAAGCAACCAAATAAGGTTCAAATTCCAGCTGTGTGACCTCTGTCTTTGTTTAAACTCTTCTTGTCTCAACTAATTCATCTGTAAAATGAGGATAATACCTACCTCAAGAGCTATTCATTCTAAGGATTAAATGAGCTAACGTTACGTAAACACAGTGCCCGGTCCATAACAGATTTTCAACAAATGTCAGTTCTTTTCTTCTTTTTCCCTTGTCTCACACCACAATTAATTGTTAGCAGAACCTCACCACTATTTTCATAAACAAGCTTGCACTACTTCCGCATAAATCCAGAAGTCAGCCTCGTGTTTCCTCACTCCCCTAACAAGATTACCTTGTCTTCAATGCCTTTTTGAACTTGTCACTGCAGCTGATCAATGAGAAAGCAGAATCAACAGACTCTGAGATTGGACCACTGGTTGACAACCTAATGGAAAGAAATGACTAGACTTCAAAAACCACAGAGAACTTACCAAATATCAATTTTGAGCCCATTGGAAACTAAGAATTGAATAGTGTCCACATGGCCACAGAGATGAAGAGCTGTGTTTCCTTGATAATCTGTGGCCAGAAGATCAGCACCAAATTTATGCAACAGCTGGCAGATGTCTACGTTCCCTCTGGCTGCTGCGAGGTGAAGGCCTGTTCTGCCCCTGCTGTCACGAATATTTGGGTCAAAGCCACTTTCCAAAAGCCGCTTGGAATAGTTAAAGTCTCCATCAATACAGGCTTGTAGCAAGGGCACATTAGTTTGAGACGAATCGTTTACAAAAACGTAGGACATTATTCTGATGTGGTGGATGGAATATGCCTGTAACGAAATATGAGGTAAGTGAGATTCAGTAAAGCCAAACTAAATCAAGACAATGAAGTCATTTAGAAAAGCACTATTTCTTATCCTTCTTGGCCTCCTGTCTCTAATAACTTACCTCACCAAACAGAAACAGCAACAAAGTTATCAATTATGTTTTATTTTCCATTAAAATGCCTTTTATTCATATCCATTCAATCAAAACCGCAATTGAATTATTCTAAAGCTCTATTTCGTTGTTCATTATATAAAAAGATTAAGAAAGATTTTCAAAGTTAAAAAAGATATAATGGCTTAGATTTAGATTCATTGCATTGTCAGAAGACATATATAACATTATCCTTAAACTTTAAACACATGCTACTGCTGATAGAGATTTCTTATCTAAAACAAAAAAAAAATCCTCTTTCACATATTTGCCTCTTATCATAATTGAGATATTCCATAACAACTCTAAATAAACAACTCTAAATAAACAAAACTATCTGCTCAAAAGTTAACTAAATCAGCATGAAAAAAAACAATGAAATAACTTAATTCACATTCAATAAGGACCTGCTAAGTGTTGTGTCTATAGCACAAACCTCTATTTTCATAGAAAGAAAAAAGCTAGGAAGAGCAATAAACTGAATTTAAAAATTGGAAATATCATGGAATCAACTCAGAGTGTCTTTATTACAGTATCCATCCTATTCGGCTCTGTTCTGTGGTTATCTAAATACCTGATTTTGCCAAACTCCCATTTCCTGAAAACTGAGAGATGAAAAAAAAAAAAACAGGTCTGTCTGGGAATAGAGAGGCAGGGCAAAGGCAGCAATCCCAACTGTCTCCACTTTAAATTTCATCCATCTGAGTAACTCAGCTTTCCCAGCTTCACCAGTGTGTCCACACCTCTTTCACTGATACTTCTCTGCCCCAGCAATCTCTTGGGGTGTGTGTGTGTGTGTGTGTGTGTGTGTGTGTGTGTGTGTGTGTGTG